AGTTTCCGAGGTAATCCCACCCACCTCCTTCCTCAACCCAACTCCAAGCAGTAACCATTTCCCAAAACATACCACTCTTTCCATCTTCTTTGTCTAAGTCAGCCCATTAGCCTAGAACACTCTGCAGCCTTCAAAGCCTCAGAACTATTTTTTTTTCTCCTCCAGGAAGTCCTCCCTGATCACCTCCTTGCAAGTCTGGATGGGGTCTTTTCCTGTGGTCACCTTTCCCTAACATCTGAATCCATCATGGTAGATATAATCTCTTGGATAACAGACATAATCTCTTGTTGCTCTTTCTCCCGAGATGTCTCCTCCTCACTAGAAAGGGCTCCGGAGGGCAGAATCTGTCTTGTTTCTGAACAGGAGTCCAGGGAAGGATTGAGACTCACAGGGGTGGAGCTTTCTAGTGTTGGGCCGAGGGTAGTGTGTGGTGTGGGGTCTCAAGGAGGGTGTGTGGTGGGCATAGACGGTAGCAAGCATCCACTGGAGTGTAGAGAGTGCTGGGCACATGTGGGAACTCAGGTCGGCTAGGTCAATGAGGGAGTCTGTGGGGATGGTGACAGCGTTTGTGGGGTGAACTCCAGCTTCGGAACAGCTGGATTCAGAGAGAGAGAGGCCCGAGGCATGTTGGTGGGAAGAAGATGAGGAATGAGGCCCAGAGAAGGAGAGCAGGAAAAGGTAACATGGGCCCTTCTTGGAGTGGGGTCTAATCCTGCATTCCCTGGACCAGAGGCTGTCTGTTGCTTGTTCACTGAGCCCATGGGGGTTGGGAGTCTAACTCGAAGGGAGTTTGGTGTAGATCCTCACTGTTTCTCAAGGGGCCAGCTGCCCTTCGGCATGCTCTCCGCCTGCCTTCCCCAGGCTGGCCCAGCTCTCCATTGGAAGCTTCTTGGTGGCCTCTCCCCAGCTGCAGCTCAAGAGAGGGCAAGTCCAGACTCCTTATCCTGGCAGGGAGGCCAGCTGGTCTCTGCTCCTCCCTGCAGCAGGCACTCCCCCAGCTTGTATGCAGCCCTGGGCAACCGGGTGCAGGGACCCCATGCCAGTGGTGGGAAGCTTCATCCCAACCCGTGGGGGTTCCATTCCAATGGGTGCTGGCTTCCTATGGGACAGAGCCCACCGTGGGGGTTGGGGGAGCTAAGTGCCCTGCACTCCCTGAAGTTTGTGGTTAACCAGCTCCCGGCTCCTTCTGGCTTCATCCACTTCCAGAGCAGACACTCAAGTCCTCCCCAGCTCCTCTCTCAGATGCTGTGCTCCCTAGTTTCATAACACAGGCTTGACTGGTGTCCTCCCCATCCCGCGTCCTTTTCAAGCTCCGTCTGCCGTAGGTGGGGAGCTCTCTCTTCCTCCTTTCTTCCTAGATAGGGTTTCACGCTGTAGTCCAGGTTAGGCTCACTATGTAGCCCAGGCTGGCCTTTAACTCATAACAATCAACAGTCCTCCTGCCTCAACTTCCCAAGAGCTAGGATTACAGATTTTCACCATCATGGCTGTATCCACTGATTTTCAGCGTTGTTTCCAAGGAGTGAGAAAGGACTGAATGAGGGACTGGAGCATGCGCAGTGAGAGATGCCAGCGCCAGACTGGGGGCAGGCAGTGAGAAGGGGTAGGAAGGGCTCAGGGCAGGGCTGAGTAGGGGGTCCTGGAATCAGATAGGAAACGGTGTAAGAGCTGGGGTGAAAGAGAGCTTAGTGAGATTCAGAGACCCTAGAACACGGGAGGGAAGAAGGGGCTCCTTGGTGAGGAGGAGGAGGGCTTCCCTGAGCTTCATGACCCAGGCCAACCGGATGTCCTCTCTTTACTCTCTCCCACTCCATACAGGGAGACCATCTCTCAGACCTCGAGATCACCCATGTCCAGGTTCAAACCACCAGAGAACCAATCAGATCTCACAAGTGGCTGCTGGTGTTTGACTGACAGGCAAAAGCCAGAGGCTCCTCTGCACATCAAGCCGCCTCCTCAGGGGGCCACTGCCCGATGCCTTTCCACACATGCTCTGGCTTTCCTTCTTCCCTTCCCTGATGCCCAGAAACCAAAGCACAAAATGAAGTCTGAGTGGGACTTTATGTCGTACAAAAATTTCTTTAAGCCAAGCAGTAGTGGCACACACCTTCAATCTCAGCACTCGGGAGGCAGAGCCAGGCGGTCCTCGGTGAGTTTCAGGACTGCCTGGTCTACATGGTGAGTTCCAGGACAGCCAGGACTACACAGTGAAACCTTGTCTCAAAACCCCCTACTCCAATAAATACATAAAAAGTTCTTAAAAAAAAAAAAAGAAAGAAAGAAAAAGAAAAATAGGCCGTGGAGATGGCTCATCAGATAAAAGTACTTGCCACACAAGCCTGATGACCTGACTTTGGATTCCCCAGGACCCATGTAAAGGCTGGACCCCATCTCAAAAGCATCTCTAGTCCTATTACACCTGTGTGGAAAATGGGAGAAGACTGTCCTGATATTCACAGGCCAGGTAGCCTGGCTCAGAGCAGTGAAGAGATCCTGGTCTCAGGCAAGGGGCAAAGGTGAAGACTGACCCCTGAGACTGTCCTCTGACTGCCACCCTCCAGTAGTGTCCTAGAACCCTCCCCCCAGGAACACACAGGCACACACCATTTTTACATATATAAATGCATGTAACGTTTACATATACATCCGAGGTTGGCGTGTGCTTGCCTGAGGCCCTGGTCCTGTCCCCAGCACAGGAAGAAGGCAGCGGTGTACCCCATCGCTATCTGTCATCCCCTAGATGTCACACACAGCTTCACAGGAAGTGCTGCAGGATCACCAAGCAACGAGTACCAACTGACAGCACACACCCTCAGGCCTGGTGACCCTCATAGCACCGGAGCGATTCCCTTCCCTGCCCTGCATCCTGACATGCACCAGTAATACAAGCCGATGCGCACACTGCGCACACTGTGGCTGGGTCAAAGTCAAGCCTATGGAATTAGCTACATTTGACAGCCATGTCTAGAAGCTAGCCTGCTAACTCCCACTTCAGAGCTTGTGCGTCAGTTCCTCTGCCTTGGACCCGGGTCTGAGGGACCCGTGTGCCAGTGGGCATGCGATCCCCTGTGGGTGAGCAGGATCGCTGTGCCTGTTACATGAGTGGCCTGCTCCCCGCCCCCACCCCGTCTCATCATCTCTATGTCATTTCGGAAATAATGGAGACTGATTATAAACCACTAAACCGCATCTGGCCCATGGAGTCCAAAACACTGGCCACAACAGAGACGTGGGGAGGGGTGTGAGAGGCCTCACGGCTGCCGCTGGAACCTCACCGTCCCTAACTGTTTGTTAAGCTGGTGGTTTTCGGCTTCACCAGTTCCCTGAGCCTCCCTCCTTTGGAGAGCCTTGGCTCTTAGCCGTCTCTGGCTTGCGGGCATCAGTCCCATGAAAAAAGTGAAGCAAGGGGGAACTGGGCGAGACTTCGGGAAGACTTCCTGCCTGCGTGACATGACAGTCCTTGATGGGGGATCTCGAAAGAGGGACAAGGCCTTGGGAGCCGGAGGCCCCCACCCAACTCTCTGGCAGGGTCACTAGCATACACTGGCCGCGCTCCCGGCACATGATGCCCCGTAACTGCAGCTGTTGAGCGGAGCGTAAGGGACGCCTGCGTCAGGCCAGGAAGTGGACACGTTAACTTTGCACTTTAGCAAACTGTTTTAAAGGACACCGGGCTCATTGGGCTCCATGATAAATAACTGCAAACCTAGCATTAGGAAGACTGAGGCAGGGGGATGAATGTGAATTAGAGGCCTACATAGAGAGTTCTGGGCCAACCAGGGCTACTTACGTACGTATGTACGTAGCAAGATTATGTCTCAAATAAGAAAAGAAAACTGGACTTGCCATTCTTTCCTTTCTTTCATAAAATATTTATTTTTAATTAAGCTTATGTATGGGGGGGAGGGGTATGTGCACATGAGTGCAGGTGTCCACAGAACTCAGAGGTGTCATACCCCTGGAGTTGTGAGCTGCCCATCATGAGCCCTGGGAAACAGAACCCAGGTCCTCTGCAAGAGCAGTGAACACTTTTAACCACTGAGCAATCTACCCACCCGATTCTTTCTTTTTTAGTTTTGATTTTTTTTTTTTTTTTGAGACAGGGTTTCTCTGTGTAGCTTTGCATCTTTCCTGGATCTAGCTCTGTAGACCAGGCTGGCCTCGAACTCAGAGAGATCCACCTGCCTCTGCCTCCTCAGTGCGGGGATTAAAGGCGTGCACCACCACCGCCTGGCCTAAAATTATTATTATTTTTATTTTTCTGGAACTGAGGACCGAACCCAGGGCCTTGCACTTGCTAGGCAAGCGCTCCACCACTGAGCTAAATCCCAATCCCCTAGTTTTGATTTTTTAAAACAGGGGTCTCTCTCCCTGTATTCCATCAAACTCTGGCATCAGCCATGGCAATCCTGTCCCAGACTCCCCCAGCGCTGGGACTATGGGCTTTTCTTATGCTCAGAACTCTTGCAGGACGCCTTACACGGGAAGGTCATTGTCTTGGAAGCTGCCCTCTTTGCAGGGCGTGCTGGCTTCAGCTCCGGGAACCCCACAGGTTTAAGTGACTGGAGAAACTCACCTACCCTTCTCTGTCATCTAGCAAGGGAAGCTGAGTGCCTGCTGCCCAGCTGCACAGAGCCCCTGTCCAAAGGTCTGCAGTTCAGAGAGGTGCCCTGAATGCCTGAGCCTGGATGGGGGAAGCGGGGGTATCTCAGGCAGGGACTCTCGCCACAGCAGGAAGCATCACCATGGATACCCTACAAAAGTGGTGTTGGGTCAAAGGGCCTCCTAGAGAGGCGTTGAGCCAGAAAGCAGATCTCAAAGAGGAGGAAAAGGTCCATAGTGAGAGGTTTACAGACCAGTACATCTCAACAAATGAAACCGCCCACCGGATAATCCGCAGCCCTCACAAAGCGCGGACAAATGAAACAACCATCACAGAAGAAGGCCACCGCAGGTCCCCGGCCCCGCCCACACCAAGGCTCAGCCCAGTAGGTACTCACTCCGCCTCTGCCTCTTGCCCTTGACCCCTCGGCTGCCCACAGCGAGGTGTGTCCAGCTCAGAACCAGGGCCACCACACACAGCCCAAGCCGCATAGTCACCGGCCAGCCCCGGGCCCCCGGCGGGAGGGGTGGTCTCTTGCTAAAGGCTCTGGGGCTGACTCAGTGGCAGGAGGCCCGAGCCTGGGCTGCAGCCCAAATCCTCCATACTCTCAGCTGCGGCCTGAGCGGTTATGGAGCCGGGTTCTCCATCGGTCCAACAAAGGGAGGTCCTGCTTGAAGCCACCTCAGAGGGTCACATGGGAAGTCTTGATACTTCAGCAGAGAACTACCCCCAAGATAGACCTGTGGGTAAGGAGAGAGAAGGGTTAGGTCCATGGTGCCTGGAACCCTAATTTACACCTCCTCCCTTTCTTTGGGTTTCCCTGTCCTGGACTTTGTAGAATTCAGGAAGTCTGGACACTACATTCCCTACCAGGCACCCCTGAGGAGGAAACCTCATCCTCCTATCTCCAAGCATCCTGTATCCCAACACTGGGGCCAGCTACATGAGTTACTGGAATACAACGAATACCCACATTAAACCAGCTGGCCTCCTCTGACTAAAAATGGCTAGTTCTGAGTGGAAGTCCTTCTTTAAGTCTACCCTACAGACCTCATGCTGCAAGAATATCCTGACATTTGAAAAGGAGCTCTCTTTGTCCTCCTGTGAGTGATTCCTCAGCTTTCTCTTCCTGGTGCTGAGTCACCCATGTGCCTTTCACCTGTCCCAATCCAGAAGTTAGAGCAGTGGCCTCTGGCAAGCAGGCAGACTCTGCATGGCCCTCTGGGGTTGGAGGGAGGAAAAGAAGTGAGGGTCCCCCCCTCCCTCGCCCCCCCCCCCAGCCACAGAAACTCTGACACAGCAGGCTGGGCGGGCCTGGCTTTTGTGAGGGGATAAAAAACGGCAGCAATGCCCGCCCTGGCCAGAAACACAGAGAATGGCGATAATCCCCCAGCCCAGAGAGAGCCAGGGCTCTGGACCCAGTGGCCAGGGTGGTGGGGGCAGGGGCGCCCGTCCCTGCCTGACGCATCTGAGCTTCAGAGTTAACCAAGGAGCACGGGTGACAGCTCCGTCCCCACTCACAGGGGTCACACACTCACAACAGAGGCTCGCTCGCCCACACCCTGCCTAGAAAGCGCACCAGCACACCTACTTAGGCTCCCAGGGCGAGCATCTGACCTGCTCCCCCGGGAGGCTCTGCCCAGGGGCTAGCTGTCTTTGGAACAGTCATCTCGCCTCCTTGAGCCTCAGGCTCTGCATCTATGAAATGGGGATTGGTTCTCCGCTGGCTCTAAGTTGTTTTGGCTTACTAATGAGAAATCTGAGATGCTAGCACGGAGCCTCCAGCCTTCCCTTCTCTCCCCTTCAGCTCCTCTGTGCCCAGTCTACCCACCCCCCCACCCCCCACCCTGCCCTGGCCTCCCAGAGAGGCCCCAGCAGCGCCCACCTGCACTGGAGATAAATCATTACCCCCTGAGGGAGTTCGGTACCTCCCTCCTCCCTCCTCCCTCTTCGGCCTCTCCCGCTGGCTTTGAAGGCCAGACACACTCAAGTGGTTAAGCTGCCTGTGAGAAGTGTTTACATGAGCCTGATGGATCCCACCTGGTGCTGGTGCTGGAGCCAGCGGGAGATGCCCCCCACCACCTCTGGTGCCCGGTCAGCTGCCACTGCCTATGCCCACCCCCACCCCCGCCAAGTACTTCATGCCCAAACTTCTCAGCTCCTATGTCACACTCCAGCCCCCACAGCCATGGAGATCCAGCCCAGGGGCTAGATGTGGACCCTGATGGTCCTAGGTACAGACTTCAGAGTCAGGCTGCAAGGTTGGCGTATTAACTGTGTTACTTTGAGTTACTGGCCTAGAATCTCGGAGCCTACTCTCTAATCTGCAAGAATCTGGTTTGGGTATAGTTTAGGCAAGTTCATCTATAACTTGCTCAGAACAGGGTGGGTACTAGTGGGGTCCCAGTTAATGCAGTAATATTTTTTTGTGAATGAGGTTTCATTGTGTGTCAATGTTCCTATGGCCCTGGACAGAGGAACTTAACATCTTCTGAATCATCTAGGTGCTAAGTTAAATGCAGAGCCCCAGGGCTCAACTGCCACATTTGCATATGTCTCTGTGGCTGGTGGCCCTGGTCCTGAAGCTGTCACCTCTCAGGAAAGCCTGTGTCAGACAGGGTGTTAGGACCAGGCAGCTCTGATCCACCAGCCCTTGGGCTTGCAAGCACTGACTCAAATGAGTCTAGGGTCAAGCCTGGGTCTTTGACTTTGGTGACATTGTGTGGGGTCCACCAGTCAGGAACGGTCTCCTGGATGTCTCTGTACTCTTGGCGCCCACGGAATGGTGCCCGGTACTTCAAGGGCAAGGGCCAAGCAGCCCAGCTGATGACAACTCCTTCCTGGCCCTCCTTACTCTCTACCCCTTCTCCATCCTCCCAGCCTGCCACACTCATCAGGTCCCTGGAGTCCCTGCCACTGAGAACTTCTTCCCAACCCCCATGGGATCTCCTGGAAACCTGTCTTTCTTGGGATAGAGAGGCGGGGCAGAGGTGTATTTCATGGGCCTAGGGGGCGCCTGCTTCCCCCTGGGATGGAAAGAATTTCAAATGTTTTGGGCACTGTGTATCTTTATCTCAAACCAGGCAAACGAGCTAACAGTCCATCCATGCCGGGAGTGGAAGCAACAGGAGCAAAGCAGTGAGGGTAAAGGCAGAGCAGTCCTCCCTATGAAGGTGCAGCTGATCTCTGACAGCAAACAATGACCTAGTCCAGGCTATCTGACATTTTGCGGGAGTGAATTAGATCAGAGACTCTGTGTACCAAGTCCCCAGGGCCACAGATTCCTGCCTCCCGGGCCCCTACCTGGGTACTTAAGGAGACTCCGACACTGTGGAGGGGAGCAGAGGACCGACTTGTAAATATCCCTCCTTGTTTCTACCATAGTTTCTGATTTACTTTGGGTGTTGAACTATTACAGCTCCCAAGTTCATTTTAGAGGGTTCATTACACCCTGTTACCAGAAAGAGCCATGGATAGTGTTCAAGGCCCCTGGCCTTGGTGGGGGTGAGAACAGCCTTGCTGGCTAGGGCAGAGTTCCACTTACTGCACCCCCTCCCACCTGGCACCTCCCACCCAGACCCTCCTTTACCCCATCACAAATGAAGGAGCAAGGCTGGATTACAGGGAAACATGGTCCTGTGGAGTTAAAGACAGACGATTTTAAAGCTAGTTTGCTACTCGGCTTTGAGGGTCCCGAGGCTGGCCTTTGCAGAGAGCTGAGGCTTGTGGGTCACTACGGCTCTGAGGATGGACCAGGGCAGGTGAAGGGTCTGGGGGCTAGAAGCTGAGCTGGCAAGAGATCACAAACTGAGGTCACATGGGTCAGGGAGGGAGGACCTACAGGGAGAACTCACGCTGGGGATGGGGGGGACTCAACCGCGGGTGGAGCTGAGGGCGGGAACTCAGCCTGAGGAGGGGGTTGGGAGAACTTTCACCTCCTTGCCTGCAACAACACTGTTAGGATAAATTGGGATTCCGTCAGATGTCGGATGCAGACCCAAAAATGTAAACCATGTCGATGACTTCTCATTAGCCAACACTCCCATCCCTAAGATCGGCCACCGGCCGAGGAACAACCGGCTGCCAGGAAGAAGCCCAAGTATTTCGGGGCGGGGGCGGGACTGAGTGCGTGCCAATGGAACCTGTGGGTATCGCAGAGGCACACCAGGCGCGGCGCGGGGACTATTCCCACCCGGTCGGCCCCAAACCCAGAGCGCAGAGAGAGGCTCCACTCCCTGCGTGCGCCTGCCGCGCTCACATCCATTCATCCTCCCTTCTCTGAGGGAGAGGCCTTGACAGGTGCCTGGGGAGCGGACCCGCTGCCACCACCCCTATGTCCCCAGCATCTGGCTGATCTCCCCACGAGCACTGCAAATACGCAGGATCGGGTCTCCTGAGCTGGGCCCATCTTGACGTCCCTGGGTGGCCGCAGCACACCTCTCTCAGCCAGGCCACGGCACAGCGCATGGGCCTTACCACGTCGGGCTAGGAGGAGGGACTCGGTCGACGCTAGCCAGGCTGGGTCGCGTGGGTAGGGCTTGGGTCACAGCTGCGTCGCAGCTAGGGTGCGTGGGTCGCGGCTGGGTCGCGTGGGTCGGGACTAGGGACTCCAGGTGGGTCTGGGTCGCAGCTGGGTTGCAGCTGGGTTGCGTGGGGGCACGGCTGGGGTGGGTGGGTTGGGGCTGGGGACTCGAGGCGGGGCTGGATCGTGTGGTTCAGGGTTGGGTCACAGCTGGGTTGCAGCTGGGGTGCGTGGGGGCACGGCTGGGGCGGGAGGGTCGCGGTTGGGGAATCGGGGCGGGGTGCCCCGGGCTGATGTGCGGCGGGACAACGGGATGGGGTCGGGCTCTGCGCTGCCTCCCGGCTCCGGCTGCGCCCCGACGGGGACCCGGGACCTGGGGCGGACGACGCGGGCAGCGGGACTCACCTGGCGCAGTGGCCGCGGCAGGGCAGCCCGAAG